GTCAGCATTTAAATAAAAAGTCTGAGCTAATGTTTGCTAACAATAAAGACATGTCTCATTTGTCTCTATTATGCTTCAGTGCTGATGTGAACAAGCCTTATTTAGCATGTAATAATAACTATGTGATTTAGTTATGTGACCGGTGTTTAGCCGGTTACAAAATACTGCAATGTAGTACATACGCCTAACTACGGGTTCTATATGCAAAGGCCTTAAAAGCTGATATACATTCGAAACTTCAATGCAGTTGAGCTACCATAAATATTAATAATTAATGCTGATATTTTGTCTGAATTTTTCGTTATGTGGACAAACAAAATTAGGGGGCAAGAAGGTGATATTTCACAGTTCCACCTTAAGCCACATGCAACCAGCCAATTACATCTCTCATTACATTTCCTCTTATCTCATGTGCCCCGATGAAATCATCTCTGGAATGGAAATTTGAGTGCACTGACATCACATGCATGGTCAGTGGGCATTATATTTTTACTGCTATCTTAATGAGCTGCCTGCTACTGTTGCCGCAGTTGTCGTTAAATTTCGTCCTTGATAACACTACTCTCTGCTGTCCGAAGATTTTTGTATGTTCAAATTTTTAAACTTTTAGATTTTTTTTTGTTAAAATTTTAAAAAATTGTATTTGTTAAAAAACCTTTTGTTAAATTTATTAATTAAATTATTTTAGAAAATATTCATTGGCGGAAATGTTTATTTTCTAGCTGCAAAAAGCCGTAATTAACATTTTTACAATTGGAACTTCAAATTTGGTCAAATTAAAGAAAAATTTTTTATATACTTTTGAGTGCTCTTTAAATTATTATTCGATTTCCTCAAATATAATAATAATATTAATATTGTTTGTTGTGTGTGTGTGTGTGTATGCATTCCGTGCAATGCACACATAATTAAAAAGCAAAGGATGATCGTACCACAGGTAGTTCCCTGAGAATTATCTGGAAGTGTTTTCATCTTTTTTTGATAATTATTTCAAATTATAATAGTCATTTCAGCTTTCGGTCAAACAACCATTTACTGTTTTTGTTTTGAACAGGTTAAATTGATTAATAATTTATTAGCCAAAAATAGAAAATAATTCAGCACATAATTTTCTCACCTTTTTTTCACGTAAACAATTTTATCTGCAATATCATTGGTGTTCTTTGAATAAAAATTTACGACACGACCTCAGAGAAACATGAAGAATTTTAAAAATCCTAAAAAACCACCCCGTCATGAAGGAACACACGCACACACACACACCACACACACACACACACACACACACACATACACACAAACACACATAAAGCACATGCAATACACACACACACACACATGTACAGTACATACAGAGTTTCAAACAGACACACCCATACATCTAACATTCACATTCACAAACACATACAAACATACACAAACTTATACAAACATATACAAACATATTCATTACTTATATCCGCAAGGTTTTGCTTGTTTGTTTGTATGTTGACAACCGTATCTTTTAATTTACAACTGCTGATATTTTTTTTCTGAAGGTTAAAAAATTATCTGTCTTCTTTTTGCTGTTTGTCTTTTTTTAATTTGTATCTTTTAGTTCCTGCTTGTTAATGCATGTGTAGGTGTGAGAAAGTATGTATGTGTGTGTGTGTGTGTGTGTTTGTTTGTGTATACGTACGTGTATATTTCTATGTGAGTAATTCCGTTAAAATTTTTATTTCAAGTGTAAAAGTGAAAGTTAATTTTATAAATACACCTATTTTTCATTTTTTAACTCCACAGCTTAAGACTTTTATTGTAATTAAGAGCCAACCCATCCTTGATATGAATATAACTTTTGTATAATTAGAATTATAATTAATTATGATAATTATCATAGTTATCCTCAGAGCAGAAGCACAAGTTTCTTCTTCATGTCTTACATCAAGCTAATTTCACGGAAACATTACATCAAAAATATCACATTAAAGACAATTGAACATTCACAATTTTGCATAATCACATTATATCATATATCTCAGTATGTCATATATCTTAGTATATCATATATCTTATTACATTATATCATATATCTCAGTATATCATATATCTCAGTATATCATTTATCTTAGTATGTAATATATCTTAGTATATTATATATCTTAGTATATCATATATCTTAGTATATAATATATCTTAGTATATCATATATTTTATTAATAGATATCTATTTCCAATGTCCATATACATGTGTCACTCCCAATTGCATATATTATAACGTATTTGCTATGCATATAAAACAACTTTTTTGCCACACACACGCACACGCACACATACACACACATATAAACTTTCACACGCAATGTATACATACAGACACACACACGCACGCACACACACACACACACACACACATATATATATATATATATATATATCCATATTACGTGTATATATCCATATATAAACTTTCATACACACACACACACACGTGAAACAATGGAATATGACGATTGGATGGATGGAATACAGCGACGGGTTACTTGTATGCCTCAAAGATGATGATGACGACGATGAAGATGATGAGGAAGATGACGACTAAGATGGTGCTGATGATGATCTGCGATGAGAAGCTTACTTGGTTTGTCACTGGACTTTTAAAATTTATCAGAGGAATGCATGTAAGTTAGACGGATGTATGGTGTTGGGCGAGTTTGCTCTTCCTTACTTTCAAGTTCTATGCATATTATATCTATGTTTATGTTGTGTATATGTATATCTTGGTATCTATATAGGTACATTACAATATTTATATATGTAAATATCAAGATGCATGATTGTATGCATACATGCGTGTATATATGTATGTATGTATGTTTGTTTATTTGTTTGTTTGTATGTATATATGTATGTATGTATGTATGTATGTATGTATGTATGTATGTAAAAACCAAAACATGATGAGTGACAGTCAAACATCAGGTAACAAATTAATTAACACTTTGTATGTATGTGTGTATGTATATATGTATGTATATATGTGTGCGTGTATGTATATATGTATATGTGTGCGTGTATGAATGTAATGTATGTATGTATATATACATAAATGTTTTTTTGCATGTGTGTTTGTGTGAGTGTATGTGTGTGTGTGTGTACGAACGTATATAAGCAGTTGTCTGTTAGATCGTTAAGGAAATTTTGTGAGCCATCCTTTGCGATGGCATGTTATTTTAAATTTCAAAACTGCTGTTTTATTGTTCAATTAACAAATTAATTAATCAATTAATTAATTAATTAAGTTGTTAGTTAATTAATTATTTCATTTAAATAATAAATACATTGATAATTTATCTTTAATATAATTTATCATCTATTTTAGTGTCTATTTTAATAAAAATGACGTCACCGCTGGCAGATCACGAGATAAAAAAAATGCATCATAACATTTAACATAATTCACCCTTCAGCAATTCACATGCATTAATTCACTCGGCTCATAATTCACAACATTATTTAATTTAAATTAATTTTAAATAATAAATTAACCAAAAATAACGGCACATGTTAATTCTACATTGACATTTGAAACCAACTTGTGAGCTTCAATAATTAAAATTAAATTAATTAAAACCCTTTAAAATGTTATTAATAAATTATTATGAAAGATACATTAAAGGTTGTTAAAATTTTGGACTGCCAAACTAACAAATCCTTATTTCATATGGTTGATGTCACATATGATGTCATATTCTTAATGTTATATTATTAATGTCAGTTACCTAATGTTATCTAGTTAACGTTATATTTGATAAAATTATATAGTTAGTGTCATATAGTTAATGCTGTATAGTTAATATCATATAGTTTATGTTTTATAGTTAATGTCATATAGTTAATGCTGTATAGTTAATGTCATATAGTTAATGCTGTATAGTTAATGTACTATAATTAATAATGTAATGATACTCTTGTAATGTTATTGTCGTGCCATCATATGTTGCACTAGGCGGTGACAAGGTATGTAAAATTTTTGTCAAAAATTTATACAACCATCACAATTTAAATTTATATTACAATATGAAAATGTTATCACATTAACAAACGCATTAAAAGACACATTGACAAACACATCGACAAACACATTAACCGACACATTAAAAAACACATTAACAAGATATAGACATACAAGAAAAACATGAATCTGTTAAACACTCCCACCAACAATATAACACAGCCTAATAAGATGGCAAACATACAATAATGCCATCAATTCATTGACGGTATGAATGTTTTGGATGTTTTGGATACACTAATAACAACAACCACAACAACAGCAACATAAGCATCATCAACAACAACAACAGCAACATAAACATCATCAACAACAACAACATAAACATCAACAACAACAACATAAACATCATCAACAACAACAACATAAACATCAACAACAACAACATAAACATCAACAACAGCAACAACAAATAAAACAACAACAGCAACGTGATTACAACATAAACAACATTACAAACATGTAAACAACAACAAAAAACAACATAAAAACAACAAAAAACACAAGCAACATTAAAAACTTGTTGTCGAAAAGAGCTTTAAGATAAACAGGATGTAACAGAGGGAGCAAGCAAATGATGCTAATCAGAGGTGTACATAAATGTTCGACCAACTCATAAGCTCGCCAATTTCTTCTCACTCTTTCATCACATCCATCCGTCTCTCCATCTTCATCATCATCGTTATCATCATCATTTTTTATTGCCGTCATCATCATCAACATCATCTTCATCATCATCGTCCTCATCATCATTACCATCACTTATTTGTTTATTTATCACTATCATCGCCACCAGCATCAAAGAAATATCACGTCAGACTCAACAATACCTCAAAATATTACAATCACAGTAACGTTTTAACATTAACCAGTCGCTAGAAACTACACAAAAACACTAAAAATTAATGACATCATCGTCATCACTTCACATCGTCACATAACATTT